GCTAACAAAGAAAGGAAATTACAGGTGAGACTCACGGTGCTACTGGGTTACATGTGGGGTGTCTTCTGGTATCAAAGAAAGTCAAGTTGACCTTGTATTTTTTTTTTTCTCTTTTTAGGTATTATTTCAAGAAGGTAAGCGATGAGTTTGACTGTGGGGTGGTGTTTGAAGAGGTACGTGAAGATGACGCTATCCTGCCCATCTTTGAGGAGAAGATCATTGGCAAAGTAGAAAAAGTTGACTAAATTTTAAAGGGGAGAGAGCCGAGTAGCCAGCGTATGATGGACTGAGGAGCAAGTGGATGGTGAAGAGGAAGTGCTTTACAAAGGAGAATGGATAAGGAGGCGAGAAAAAAGGTGGATCCAGAGTCAGAAGATTATAGTAGTGGTCATTGACTTCTGTATCACGGCTGCAGTGAAGTTGGACTTGAAGAAGAAAAATCTCATTTTCTTTTTGGAGTGTAATGTAGCATTGTAAAGTTTACTAGAAAACAAGAACAAAAAGTGCTACTAATGCTACGTATTTTTGATAATGACTTATCAAAGGGTTTCCTTTCTAAAATAACTGCACTTGTAATTTTTATATGTATTGATACCAGATGTGTACAGTTTGTGTTAAAATACAGCAAAAATTTTCTATCTATTTAAGTATTTAAATTGCTAATTTTAAGCCTAATTAAAGCTGAAGCGTTGCCCCTCGTGAAGACGATCCGATTCCTCGATAGGGCTGATTCTTGTTTGCTTTTTTTCATTAATTGTAAGAGCCCTCTGGACGCTAATGTTTGTGACTTTAAAGTGCTTTTAATACTTCACTTCTCAGAACTTTATTTAGAGGCATCAAATCAGACTGCTTGTTCGTTATATTATATACTACTGACTCGGTGTAGACCTTCTTAACTAAGAACCCATTCTTGCAACCCAGTGTAGGAATTTTATTAATGTATTTAAAAATATATTTAAAAAGTCCAATACAGAACAGATTATAATGTCTGTCTTATGGCTCAGTCACACATGAGTAAAAGTAGGATGGCAACCTTCTTGCAACAGTTTGATTGCACTGAATTTGTTTGCTGTTGGACTGCAAGTAGTTATGGCCACAAGCCACCAGTGGTTTAATGTGTAACACCCTCAACCTGTGGGCGACCACTTTAGATCTCCTCTGCCATTTGAACAGGGCCAAGCAGTAACAATTTGAGTTGGACTGACTGCAGTCACTCTTAGATTAGCAAAGACTGACAAATATCTGCCATTTAATTTATAAATGCAGACTGCAAACATATTCCAGTCGTTCTGAGTCAGTCTTGCTGCCTTGCATCGTTTTGCATTAGGGGACTTGATAGGTTGTCAAGCACCCATGCTATTTTGCAGTTAAATTACTGTCCTACAGAAACTATGTCACTATTTTTGGAGGAATCTGTGTTTCATATCTGTGAGGTTCTGGCTTGACTCTGAATGTAAGTAGTTAATGTGAATTTCTGTGTATGTAGTTGGCAACAGATTTTCTCTTTTTGGCGATTTATTGCGTGCCAACTTGACCCCAACGGAAGTTGCTTTAAAAATGGCAACTTACTACATCTGGTTGAAGCAACCGTTACAAAGGCAACAAGACCACAAGTTTATTGCATGTGGCTTCAATTAATTTTTTTTGTCACAGTCTCTCAGCCACTGTTTTCCCTGGTATAGGTGACTGTAACAGAGAACAACCATATCCTCCATACATTTGCTGTATATGGCATGTAAGTGTGGCTTATTGCTATGTTCTTTAAGATTTGTCCATTACATTGCTTTTATCCTAAATTAAACTTAACAGGTGAAAATG